CATAGAAACTGGAACCACACTGATTGTTCCCAGCTCCATGAGTATCAGCAGCACTACCATAGAACCCAGGTGCCCCACCAGGGTATCCCCCGGTAGGAGCCCCACCACTCGGGCCTCCAGGAGGTCCAGCGGGACCTTGGCCTCCGCCAGGATGTCCAGGACCTGGTGGTGGAAATGGAGCATGTCCGTGACCACCGCTTCCGCTCCCACCTTGACCGGGTGGTCCGCCTTGCCCACCTCCTCCCCCAGGAGGGGGAGGAGGAGGCGGTCCAGCGTTAGCACGTTCATGCCGAATATTGCAGCGCGCACATCGCTCGAGGCCGTCGCTGCCAAAATGACTGTGATCCTCACAAACGTGGTTCCCACAATCCGTGCAGAAATACATTGAGACCTCCTGGGCATTCTTGCGACATGCCCAACACTTCATTTTCAAGAACTGACAATTGCAACAGTCCCCGTCGTCACCCCGGCAAAGCCTGCAAAACTCACGATTGCACGTAACACACGAGAATTCAGCGTCCGGGTGCCTACGGTCGTTGGGATTATCGAGGGCACAAATCTTTGGCGCACCTGGGCCACCGGTACCGGGAGCTCCTCTTGCGGCCGGTGCCGAGGCCTGTCCACGATCAGATGGAGCTCCAGGAGTCCTCCAGCTATCGCCGGGACTCTGGATATCGGCACTAGCTCTACTCCCAGGAGTCCTCCAGTTATCGCCGGGACTCTGGATGTCGGCATGGGCCCTATTATCCCTACCACCTCCTGGATGACGGTCTGGGTTCGGAGAGACGTTCCCGCTATCGCGGATCGGCCTATCCAGGTTCGGAGAGATGCTCCCGCTATCGCGGATTGGCCTCTCCCCCCTCGATTGCCGACTCCGGACCTCAGATCCCCTATCGCGGACGGCAGCAGGCCTCGGGCTCCTATTCCTACCCACATCCCTGTTGGGAGAAACAGAAATGTCCCCCCTTGCGCGTGCGCGGGGGCCATCCCTCGCACGCCCTGGCGGTGAATGCGACCTGTCAGGCAGTCCCCGCGCCCTCCTGCTTCTGCTGTCAGCCCTCTCCCTATCGGGATTAATGGGATGCCTGCCTGCTTGGGAAGGATCGACCCTACCGGGCACATCTGGCAAAGCGTGATCAACCAAATCAACACCTCCGCCCGGTCTCACCGGAAGGCCAGTACCCCGACCGTTACCTTCTCCGGGAGTGGGCGTCGGAGACCTGATTCTGTGTCCCTGCCCCGCGAAAGCGTCGTATCCAACGTTCCGTCTCTCTCTGGGCTGTGGAGGATTTACCTGATTATCCTGGACACCCTGAATAATGCCAGCAGCCTCATCGACATGACCTTCGATTTCATAGAGCTGAGCCATGATTCTGTTGTTCATTCCATTAAGAGTACGCATGTTACTCTCGACAGTGCTGATTCTCCGCATAGCGCCTTCAAGCGGAGTCGATTTCACGCCTAATGGCGGACCGTGCTTGATCACTATTCGCAGGGAGATTGCGAATCTGCCTTCTGATGTCATCAAGAACTTGATTCAGAATCCCCGAACTCCATCGTCATGATCCCCATGGTGGCGTTGAACTCCGCGAGATAGATCCTGGACCTTTCGATTGACTTCGTCAATTGCTTCATGCCAGTCCTGCGGGGATACAGGCCCTGATGATCTATCGATCGCCTGTGACCCCCTTCCACTTTGCAGCCTCGACATCCGATTAGCAAGAATGGTTTGCTCTTCATTAATGCCACCAATAGATTCGGAGGCCCACTTAGCAAACTTCTCGTGTTCAAGGAGAGCCTTTTCGAGTTTCAGGTTTAACTCTCTGAAATTCGCGTTCACCCCACTGCTGCTAGCCCTATCGGGCGGTTGCGCGACAGGATTCAAATTCCATTCACCTGCTGGCGTCCGCATCCCGACGGTTTTCTCTACCGAGAACATCCGTCCCTCGAGCTTGTCCAAGTCCTTAAGGATCTCATCCTCGGAAGCAGCATGGCTCCTGTGGACGGCCTCACGATTCTCTTGAATCATCTGGCGAAGCCGATCAGTCGCGGCCTCATTGTCCTTAACAGATTCATGAACCTCGTGTGAAAGCAGATTGATCCTCTGCTCCACGACTTCAGCCTGTTCATCGATGGCTTGCCTCACAATGGCTTTGCTGTCAGGAATAACTTCCCTAGCAAACCGTTGAACTATCATTCGCATCCTACCGGCATCAGATTGAGTCGCAATCTCAGCTGTCAGGCGATCGACCTTGTCCTTCGTCTGTCGATTCTCGTCGCTCCATTCCCTTCGCATGGAACTCACCTGACCGTTCAGTAACCTGATTTGGTCAGCAAAAATATGGAACGCCTTCGCGACTGAGCCAGAAACCTCAAGCATCTCCTGGATGTGCAAATCGAACACCTCCTTTGCCCTAGCGTCACCTGATTCGCCGGAAGACTGGGATCTGAGGGCAGGAGGAGTCGATATCTCGATCCTCTCAGGAGCCCCACTAGCCCCGGCATGCCTTCTGGGGTCGCCTACAGGACAATCATCAACCCTGGGTGGCCTACTCGGGGTAGATCCCCTTCTCCGGCTATCGCCAGATCGGGGATCAATGTTGGATGCACGAGACTCGGGGGTAGAGTGAATGTGAACATCAGCAGGATCGGGCATCTCCTCATCCTGCGGAGTTGAGCCCATTGGTGAGGGGCTAGCCCTCCTCGCCTTTGACCTATCGGTCTCAATGGCGAGGGGTGACGGCCTCTTCGCAGAAACACTACGTTCCCTGGCGGTCGAGCCCCATTGAGGTGTGAACTCGTTGCTAGACCTTAGCGTTTCAAGGTCACTGGTATCTCGCCCTAACGGGCTAGCGATCGACGGACGATCTTCGATCCCGAGTGCATCGGCGAGCCGACCATCTCTGGCACCTGTCCTAACGATATCGGCAGCCCGCTCAGTGATCCTCGGCGAACCAGTAACCCGGTTCGAGTTCACGTCTCTCTGATTCAACGGACCTCCAAAGGTAATGTTGGGAAAAGGGGGAACATTCGGGGTATCACCAATCGCTGGGGGACCTATCGGTCCCTCACGGTCATGGATGGCCTCCAATCCCCGAAGAACTTCCCGACTATCCCTGGCTCTCTCTCTCTCGCTTCGGGCGTCCCTGTCAACACGAAGGTCCCTGGCGGCTCCACGAGAGAGGCTCCTAGGCCTCGCAGCATCACGGATCCTAGCATTTCGGCGTGATTGGTCCTCCTCCACATCCGCAAAATTGTAATCTTCGCCATCATAAGACTCAGATTTGGCAGTATTAGGGTTGGGCCTACCGGCATCAGACCCCTGCTTTGAGCTACTGCCCCAACCTGCGGTTGATTTCAACAGAGCATCGTATCCGAAGTCTGAGAATTTCCGCTCCTCGTGCTCATCAAACTGACCTGGATTTTGAGAACCAGTGGATCGACCCGAGATATCTCTCGGAGCCAAAACCATAGTCCCTGGTCCTTGCGGCCTGTCCTCAAACTCATCCGAGACCTGCGATTCACCTGGAATAAGAGATCTCGGGGGTCGGGTCGGCATAGCCTCCGGGTCATCCGAATGGGGGCGGGCCATGTTCATCGCCATGCTGATGAAGTCGAACTGTCCGCGCCTGTGACCTGATTCAGAGCCGCTCCTATCGGAGCGAACCCTCCGTGTCTGCTCATCATCGGTGGCCTGACGGAAAATGCGGTCGTCTCCATCGTCGGTGTACCTGCCACGGCTCCTGGGTGTGTCCCTACCGGGATCTTCACCCCTGCGATCCTGACCTGTCGAACCTGCTTCGAAATCCTCGTAGTCATAGTCCGGTAGGTCCTCACCTGAGCGGAGGCCCCCTAGGATGGCCTCCTCATCCACGACGCTCCTTCGAGATCGTGGGGTCGACATAGAGCTTGTAGTTGATGGTCTCAAGCGCGTAGGAAAGTCCTACGGCTGATAACCTGTGATTCGGGCACGAGCCTGTGCCCAGGCAATGGGTAAGTTGGGGTAAACAAGCCACAAAAGAAAGGTTCCCCAAAAGCAAACCAATCCCCGGTCCCAAAGATCAGGGTTTCCCACACACCAGAGAACAACAACCAAAAGGAAACAAACCAAACAAGAAAAGGGTTAACCCGCAACCTTGGTCGACAACAGGCCGCACGACTGGTCCCTACCAACCTGGCGGCGGCCCGAGGTCTCTTTCTCCCCCGAGATGCCGTCGGTCGACGCAGGGGTTCGGCGACGCCCATTCGAGGCGCGACGGAACCCAAAATCTTGAGCCAAAACACCACAGGTCGGTCACTAACGCGACGTCCCTGATGATGATATTAACCATGGCTAATCACATACGGATATGATTCGGGTATGGGTCAAAAGTAGGTACGCCAAACAGGACCCTGGCAAATGCAAACGGAGACTAAAACCTGCGGTCCCCTGGTGGTTTAATTTTGACTCATACCCATTTGCTTCTTACGTGAAACTGGCCGAGGGAATAATCGCTCCAACATCCTTGGATTCAGCTGAACAGACCATCCCATGGCTCTGTTGTGGGAGGTGACGAATTTCATCCGCCAGTCCGAGACTGCTCCTGATCAAATGCACAGTGTTGCAGCGGCTTGCGAATGCAAGAACCCAAGAACGTGCTCTTCTCGTGCTTGTAGCCCAGAAGCGCTGCATTGGAGCATCTGGTTTGACAAGACAAAAAAGACCAAAACATATGAAAATAAGCTTTCATGGAATTATGTTTTTGGTATGCTTTTCAGCCAAGTTCCGTGGTGAGTATAAGAGTAAACTCCACGTCTTACTGAGTCACTCGCTTCTGTGTCGCATGCAAGAAACTGGAAGAGATAAAGCTGCCATCATGCCATATCCGATCCATGCTCAACTACTCCTACAAGATCTCTCAGATTCTGTGTTGTTCACCCAAACCTCCCATGATTCAAAAGGCTTTTGCCCCCGAAAATGACAGCCCCCAACCCGGTCATGAACATATCGGACCAGCTGCCACGATGAGGACCGCCACAAACGGCTCGATGAAGATGAGCGGGTGTATCTTCTCTGGTGGAGCTGCCAAATCGTTGATCCGCACCTGCAACATGCATTTGGGCCTGTATCAAAAAATGGGCTTGACCCCCAAATATGGTCAGTTTCCTCTTGGTTTCCCATCTAGGCGACCGCCAAAGGGTAGCCTCAAAACAAATACACACACTTTGGGTATCTGTCACAAGCATGAATTTCAGGGACCAAACAAGCAGGCTTGGGTGGAACGAAGGCCCGGTCCCCTACATGATTTGTCCTTCGCCATTGGGGGTTTCCGCGGGAAGTGTTTCATGGATGTGGACCGGAACTCCTAGCCATGTAGGTGACACCGCTCAACTCCGACAGAAAGCAAGAACCAGACTCATTCTAAACTTTACAAACAAAAATAAAAACCAAGCCAAGGACATGCATCATTTGTGTTGCCCCCAAAGCGATCGCCATCACGGCGAGCCGCAAAGGTGAGCTCTGCCACCAAACGATTGGTGTCCCCTGCCAAGAGGATCTCCTTCATCGCCTCAGAGGTTGCCAAACATTTCACTCAGACTTCCCAAGAAAGAAACCTCCAAAAATGAAGAGACCTTGAGCCAGGGCGCCTGCCATGTTGGGTCAAACCAAGGGCTTTGCGAAGACATAATACGTGAGTTTCGACTTACCATGTGGCACTCCATCGTCCAAGTCATGTGAAGACCTTGGCCTCAGAGACCCCTTTTCTCTGTGCCGTGCCTACGTCAAAGGCCGTCACTGACCATGTCCCATGGTAAAAACTCCAGCTCGTCACGGTAACCTTCTGGAACCCTTCTGGTTGTCTACCGATTAAAGGGGGTTAATAATCCTGTTGATAACCTTCCCTATCTATCCCAAATGAACAAAGGTCTGCTGACCATAGCACACTGTGGATGGACAAATCCTGCACCTTGTGGCTTCTCCGAGCATTCATATGTAAGATTTTATCCATCCCAAACTGGTGCTTGGTGTGGATGTTGTAGCCATCCACAAATGCTCGCCCAGAAGCAAGCTAATGACTACATAAGTTTAGAGGCCAACTGGCAACCCTCCAAGTCCTGCGTCTCGAATCGCATCCCATCTGCGAATAGTTGGGGCCCAACAACCGTGATATGACTTTCCTTTTGATTTCTCTTTCAACCTTCAGTGTGCCAACTCATGGCGCTCTTGGATGCCTTCACCACTTCACAAGGCTGGTTCACCTCTTCAGATAATGTATGCCAACAGACCTGCCCCATTGGGGTAAATGTGGGCAACACATGACCGGGAGCGTTTGGGCCTCTCAAAGAAAATCAAAGACCTATGGTCGTGTTATTGATTGTGCCAAATACAGAAGTCAAGGCAAAGACCTAGGCATGTGCTCAAGACCATGGAGTGATGGAAAGCATGTGGGCATGGACAGCTACCTGAAAAGGGTACTAGTACAAACTCCAAACAAACCCAAACCCAAAGCCTGTCCATCCGTGCAACCTGGAACTTTCGATGACACCTGTAATTTCCGAGAACACGTGTCAAACTGCTGAACCACGCGACGGGGGTTTGATTGGCCGCGGATCAGTGGAGACCGTTCATAAGGGTTTATCTAGACTTGCTTTTTGCTCCCACAGTGGGTGCAAAACTTTATCCTGCAGTGGCCAAGAGGAGTCGGTCTTGGGCACTATCTCATTTCCAGTGTGAAACCCACCAAAACCCGCCAAACAAACCAAAGAAGTCTCATTTCCAGTGTGAAACCCACCAAAAAGCTGACCAACAAAAAGCCCGCCTCAAACTGCGGCATCATGTGAGCTCCGAAAATCTTCTTCAGGATCTCTTTGTCCCTGCATGGCGCTAGCGACATCAGTCACAGCTAAGACCACTAGCCCAAACCGGGCTTCTCAAAATGGTGGACCCCCTTTTGTGTGGTTGTAACGAAAAGCCAACAGGCGACAATCCATGTTGGTCTTCCCCTCTTGTGAGAAACACCCAAACCACTACCAGGATAAAACAGGGGGTACGTAGAAACACGCTATATAGCCATGAACTTGCAAGCACAGAGTTTGATGATCTTTTTGGCAATCAAGACATTCCACCGAGCCTCATGTAAAATTGAGTCAAAATATACGGTCTGCGTTCCATTTGGCAGGGACATCATGGGATTCTCTGAATTTCAACACAATTCAGCCACAAACCTGGGGCAGAAAAGCTAATCTGCCCCTGTCCATGGAGAGGAGTTCATACATGCCTGCACCTTCCATTGCTACATAAATTTGTGTCACGAAGAAAAACAAACATGTTTTTGCCCAATGATCCAAAAAGTGCTCGTTCCCCCAAAAAACTCGCTTTATGAACACGGGGTTCTTGCAAATACCAATTGTTACATGATTTGGATTTGCGCTCGTTTTGCGGGTATTTGCGCCCGTTTTGCGGGTATGTTTCCACGTTTCCACGCAACAAACTATATGAGAAGAGAGAAGCCGCCGCAGTAGCCCCAAAAGATCGAATCCAAATTTGCGCCCATTCCATTGAGAAAAAAAAACCCGATTAGCAAATTTCTGCAACGAAACACCCAAGGGACACAAATAATGTAACGAATGAAGGTCCAGGTGTTGATCTAATATGGGTGCCACTGTTTCCACTACCCCAAATCACTACATCCCACAATGACCCAAGCTACATGGCTCAAGTGTCAACTGTTATGGCAAACCTACAAACAACAGCACTCATGTCGGCGTTGTTTATACCTCTACAAATTATCGGGAGCCCAATCTGGAATGACGCGGACGCATCCTTGCGGGGTAAAAATAATAAATGTGGCATGGGGGCTGAATCACCCGTTTTCACAGGGCGGCCGCAAAAGGGACAGTGCTTTTCCACCTGACGCTGAATTCGCATTCTGACGCTGCATTCCAAAAACCTGTGACGCCGCATTCCCTGACGCCACATTTTCCCCTGAAGCCGCATTCCCGGCTGACGCCGCATTCTGACGCCACATTCCCTGACGCCACATTCCTCCCTGACGCCGCATTCCCGGCTGACGCCGCATTCCGACGCCACATTCTCTGGCGCAAGATTTTCGGCTGACGCCGCGTTGTGACTCCGCCTTCCCCGACGCCACATTCACCCCTGACGCCGCATTCCTGGGTGACGCCGCATTCCGCTGACGCCACATTCCTCCCTGACGCCGCATTCTTGGCTGACGCCGCGTTCCGACGCCACATTCCCTGACGCCACATTCCTCCCTGACGCCGCATTCCCGGCTGACGCCGCATTCCGACGCCACATTCCCTGACGCCACATTCCTGGCTGACGCCGCATTCCCCGCTGACGCCGCATTCTGACGCCACATCCCGCCCCTGTACCGGACCGGCATGCTGGTTTCCAAGACTTTTGTATCTACAAGGAACTTGAACCCTTGCCCTGAGGCTACATCTTTCGCAAGCGATCTCAATAGAAGAAGCGCCCATTACCTTCCCAATCTCTATCCGAATGATGAGCGTTTTTCACAGCTGATGCATGCAATGTGTCAGGCGCAGCTTGCTTTGAAGCGCGGTCGAAAGATCAAGCTATCATCGCTGGTCGAAGATCCAGCTATCGTCGTCGCTCGAAGGCAAATCCTGCTCCAGGAAGGGCGCCGTAGTAGACAGTCCATCTGTGTCGCGCCCGGGCAGCTGTCCGGCGACCCTCAGTGACGCACCCCGTACGGGAAATTCACGAGACCTCTTGTAGACTGTACTGTTGCTGATTTGCGTCAACTGCTTCACACGCGCATCTCCAGAATAGTAGTCGCCGATGACGATACTGTACGGAAACAAGAAAACATTTTGTGGTGATAAGTGCAAGTCTCATGCAAATACTTTTGGCTTGCCCAGTGTACCGTGCACGACGAGTACCACCACGGCTGGCCATGATATCATTCACGATGAGTATCACGATCCCGCTTTGTATATAACTGCAATTTGCAGTTGGTCCCCCACGTAGAAGAAATCGTAAAGAAAATGCTTGATCACCAGTGTGATGCTTCTGCGATGGCCTTTCTACTCGCCCTCCACCGGAACCTTTGTAACAGAGAATCTAGTGTCTCCTCGGTCCGATTGATCTTCTCGATAAAGCGCGAGGGCAGATGTATATTGCGTGATTCGAATAGCACCATTGGAGAAGAGGAGTGTCGACGCAAATGATGGCGCCAAGCTCAAGTCTCAAGAACTTGCGTCCAATGTTCACATCTGTTCGGTAGAAGGTCATGTAATCGCAGTTGAGGCCGAGGGCGATGCAACGGAGTATTGTGTCGCTGACGAAGGCAATGTCCTTCTGATGGCTGACACCTCTGAACTGCTCTGCTTTAATACCAAGTATATTGCAGGCGGTCCAAATCCGGTACATGATGTATAGCCCTCTCAGCTTCAGGAACCAAAAGAACATTTCTTCGTCCCTGTGGTTTGCGCTTTTGAACCTCACATTCTTGAACTTAGGAGCGGCAGTGACCTCTTCATAGGTTGGCGGGATTGGAATATTCTGTTCATCAACATCTTTGAAAATCCAATCGTCCCTCCCGTTGATCGAGATGTAGGGACAGTATAGTCCGCCTTCTTTGCCAGGCTCCTTGACCACATCTGCCTCGTTGTTGGCGAACACCTTCCATACTTTGAAAAGTACGACGCCAATGAATTCAGAGAGGTATGATGCCTTGCCGGCTTCGTCAACGCAGATGGCCTTGACTTGCAGGAGATGAGTTGCGTCCGCATCCTCCTCTGGGTTGTCCGGACAAACTCCCGGGTCTTCATCGTCGATGTCCGTCCCGATATCCGACGGGATGTACGATCTGCCTGCAGACCGTTCCTCACTCATCTCCTGGGTGTCGGGTCGTTCTTCCTCGGCGACGAATCGCTCTGCATCTTCCTTTGCTTCTCGCTGAGCTTGTTTCACTTCCTCCGTCACATTGGTGGTGTCGGATGGTTTTGGCTCGTCGTCATCCACATGGATCACGAACTTGCCGGTGGAAATGAAGTCACACTCGCATGCCGTGCAGTAGCAAAATCCCATTTGAATAATGATAGCGCACGCTGGGCATACTCTGTTGGAAATGCTTGATGGGTCGTCCTCGCGGTAGACGATGAATCTGCTGAGCAAATCCCTGATCTCTACCAACGATTTGCCCAAGGCTTCGGGCACTCCGATGTTGACGCAAGCATCGACGACCATCTTCTTCAGGATGTCGGCGTCCGCTGAGTCTTCATCGTCCAGGAAACTGAAAGTCCGCCGGGGTCACGCCCACAGCGTCCTTAAATCCTGGACAGATCTCGCTCTCGACGGCGCGGGAGTAGAACTGCCTAACCTCTTTCACAGGCCCTTTCTTCGTGGACTTGAAGCTCCAGATTGCCCTTATCTCTTTGAAGGGAATGGTCTCTCCCTCTTTGATTGCACGTAGATGGCGATGAGGTCATCTCCCTCTTTGACGTCGTGCATTGCAGTCTTGGTCGAGATGTTTTTGCTGTCCCAAGGTGCAAATACTCCGAAGTGTACTGCCAGCCTTCGCGCACTGTCGTTGCCGCCAGGAACGATACCTCTCAAAATGATACCTTCCAGGGCTGATGGCTTTGTCACGTGAAATGCTCCGCCCAAGCGATCGGACATGTTCGGGAACAAGATGTTGCAAGGTTGAGCAGGACGAGCGAATCCGAAATCCGAATGCCCTGATGACGCTCGAATGCACCATGGTTGCCACCATCCGCCATGCTCGCGACGAATCCAGTCAATGTCGTTCTCCGCCCATCCAGCAGCTATGAGACCCGCCCTCGTCTCCATGTCGATCTCCTGATCAAACTTCGCAGCAAGGATCTGCAGTCTCGGCTTTCGTGCTGTCCGATCCTCCGATCTGATGCACTCGGCAACCATTTGAAATTTGTCGCTCTTCTTGTACCGATCCTGCGGGAACGCGCTCTCGCGACTCAGGATGTGGTCGATTTTCACCCATCCTCCACCATTGCAAGGGATAGGGTTCCCCCACTTTTGGCCAATTTGATGTCGTAGGATCTTCACCAGTGCTTTCGACGTATGGAACAAGTCTTGGTGGTGAACCCAAACGCTGTGTACTCGTTGTACGGCCAATAGGGAAAACTTGTGTCTCTGTTCTGCGTGTTCATGACTTCTAAGTGCAATCCCTTTGGCAGCGTGCTGGTCATACATGAATACCCTTGTACACCTTCGCAAACTGCCCCATCACCGGGTTGAGGAATCACAGAGGGGCTTTGCTCCACCAAACGAATCGAGCATGCGGTTGTACTCCTTCATGGTTCCGTTCGAATTCGTGCGTAGGTCAAGTTGACCAACATGGAGTTCTCCTCCTTCTGCCAAATCAGCCATCTAGGTTCACGACGTAGTTGTACTTGTGGAACTCCTCCCTCGGATAGAAGATCGGCGCCTCCGCTTCCGGTTGATGCGGTTTGTCAGGTTCGCTGGACATCGGAGCCATTTCTTCATCATCATCATGCATTTCGATGTCTTCATCGGATGAGGGATGCCCTTCTGGAAGAAACAGCATTGTGATCTTGCCACGTGCCGAGTCAGACTCAATTGCTCTTGCAATGTTTTCTTTCCCGCACTTCATGCAAATCTGCAGTTCGCCAGCTCGATCGCAAAGATCCTCAAACATCCGCAACAATTCTGCTCGTCTTGAGGCGATGTTCTCGACTCTCGATTGTTTGGCTTCGGGCTCCTCGGCATCATCGGGTTCACGACCACGATCAGCGTCGTCCTCATCGGACTCGCCCGCTTTCTTGTTTTGGCCTGATGAAACGGCGTCCTCGATGTCGATGAACGGGTTCGAGTACCCCAGTCTGTC